ATGTCAGCAAAAATCTATGTTCTAGTGGATGTCTCATTTCCGGGACAGAGGCCTTTGTAGATAGCAGAGAGTGGGGAAATGAAAGTGACCAGTCCCCAATTCATTGAATCTTTTCTTCTAGGCAGCTGGACAGTGAGTTGTGGGACAGTATGCTGCAAAAGGTACCTTAACTTACTGGTCTGATAGACTGGTGAAACCCCTGAGACTATATGGCCCCTATTCACCCTTCAGGCCTAGAATTAATTGAACTCACTCCCATTGCCTTCCAGCCAAACAATAGACAGGCATATAAGGTGAACATTTACAGCAGGTAGGTTATACTCTTTAGAACAATCAACCGTGGGAGATCAAAAGGCAGTATTTGCATGGAGAGAGCTCAGAGGGCAGGAAGGCATAGGAAAGGACAAGGGGGAAAAGTAAACACAGGGAGGAAGTGAGAAGAGAGCTGTTGCATTGTAGGGATTGCAATCAATATCATGAAACAAAATGTCTACAAACTGTTATATGGAAAATGAATTTGCTATATAAACTTTCACCCAGATCACAGTTTAAAAAAAAAAAAAAAAAAAAAAGGCCTGCTGAGAGGAGGATGGAGCACCTGTGACTGTGAGGCTGGTTAATGGGTCTCAGGAGACAGATGGTGGCTGAAAAGAACCTGACTGAGGACCCTGGACACTGACTACTGGCCCAGAAGAACAGGACCCCGTAAATCCAAGGATCTGGAAGGGGAGAACAGAATCTGGAAGGAGGTAGACAATGTTGTGCCCAGGTTAAGAAGGAGTTCCTCGGCGAGAGAAATATGCCAACACACGACAATGCAAAAGCAATAGGAGGGTTTATTAGCTAACTTAAGTTAGGGTCTTTGCCCTTACCAGATCAGTGGCTTGAGCAAAAGACCCCGTGCCCTGATATTCTCACAAATTTATGGAACAATATGGGGAGGGGCAGCACCAGGGCAAGAGGGTACAGATGATTGGTGGTTGCTAAAGGATTTAGGGCAGTGATCTAAGATGTTGGGGGACGTAAAGAAACCCCCCGGCTCCAAAGTTCACTTAGGAAAATATTATCTAGGGAGGATGGAGGCTTAGGTATGTGGGAGACTTTCAGGAGCCCAACAAATCTCCGATACGTGCTGAATCCGGATGGCTTTTGTGATGCGTGCTGAGTTCGGAGGAAGTTCCTTGATACCTGCTGAGACTGGAGGGCAGATAAAGGCCCTAAGGAGTGTTTAGAATTCCAAAAGTCCTGTTAGCATTGCTGACACTAAAAGGTTTCTGGTTAAAGATTTTCCTGGAGGCTGCTAGAACTCTGGCTTCAGATTGACTCACAACAAGTTCTTGCCCAAACCTGAATCCCACTGTGTTTGTTAAGTGGTCTGTCTAAACACCCCACCACTCAGGTCATGCCAGGGGCGAGTACGTAGGACCACAAATCACAAAGTAAAACTGATGTTTGGAGAAAATCAACAATTCTATTTCCCGTTAGTGTGAGGATTTGGACAAGGCTCTTCTCTGAGCCTGGGTTTTCTCATCTGTAAAATGGGCCTAATAAGAAAAAACTCACAGGGTGATTGAAGGATGCCTAGCAGGAGCAGGCAGGACACAAACACCCCCTACGGTTTTATTATCTGTAGTGAGTGAGGAGAGGCACAGAAACCCTGAAGGCACCAAGACAAAGGAACGTGGACTGTGGGTCAGAAACTGAGCCCTGGGTATCCCAGGCTGGGCAAAGGGGCGACAGCTAGCTGCAGCATGGCCACAGCACAGCTGGGATGCTCAGCGCCAGGCTGGGACTGAAAGGAGCCACAGACAACTGGAACCGAACTGGCAGCTGCTCCCCGCCTGAGCCCACCTCAGAGATGGGAGAGATCTGGGAGCTGACAGCCGAGTGGTGCCTCTATGGAAGGAGGCTCGGCTGCAGGCTCGCTAACCCAGGCTGCTGCTCCAGTGCCTTGTTCCAGGTAACAGCAGGTAGCCTTGGGCGTCCCCAACTAAGTATGTGCCCGCCCTGCCCTAGGGGTCTCTCTTCTGTTCTGTGGAGGTAGCCCACCCTGCCTTCAGGGCATTGGGCCCCCTCTCTCCCCTCCACCTCTCCTCCAGGTGGTCCCCTTCTGGGTGTGAAAAGGGAGTCAATATTAAGTAGTTTAACTTAATGAGGGCCCAGGTCTGGAGCTTGTTAAAAGAGTTCTCTCTTGATTTCAATGTGATAAGTAGCAAGAAAGAGGTATAGGAGAGCTAGGAAAGAAGTAAGAAGAAACATAATGGCCTGAGGCCTCCAGGACCCATGGTCCACATTGCCAGACTAAGAATGTCCCCTCCTGGCCACACACACCCTTTGATCTCCAGCTCCAGGTTGGTGCCTAGGCAAGCTAAGAAGTCGGTCTCATTGGATGTTCGGGCCTGAAGAGGCAGAGGTGTTTTTGTTTTTGTTTTTGTTTTTGTTTTAATTAGGGTTCATGCTGGGGAAAAATCAATGCTTAGGGCCTGGGGGCAGGGTCATGACATCCCTCTCAGGGCTAGTAAGGCCAGGTCCTGGCAGCTACCACATACTGTTACCATCAGCCCAGATGACCAGAAACCAAGCATCCTCCTCCTTTTCTCTGGGGCTGCCCAGTCATTTTCCAGAACCCAAGCATCCCTCTGTGCCTCAAGACTCTCCAGAGACCTAAGTCTGGGGCTCCTCTGGCACCTAGCAGACATCCTTCTGGAACCCAGGCTTTTAACCTGCACCTTTAGTGCTGCCCTCAGTAGAGCAGGTCTGGGATGAGGCAGGAGAGGCCCGCTGGGCTGAGTGACCAGAGCTGGACTCTGGCTGCCAGCCAGTCCAAACAGTTCAATGGCATCACCCATGTCCAGGTCAGGATTACTGTCAATGATAGGCTTCCAGTGTCCTGCACGTGGGGGTGCCAATGTAACAAATCAGTGACCTGTGCCCTGGTATTTGATTCTGGAAGAAACTAAGATTAGAAGGCCTACAGCAGACTGGAATGCCTTTCTTGTCAGTGACAATGTCACTCTCCTCAGATAAATTGTTGTTGTTGTTGTTGTTGTTGTTGTTGTTATGTGCCCTGGAGTCCACCCGACTCATAGCAACCCCTCCTTGGGTTTCCGAGGCAGTATCACTATGGAAGTAGATTGCCCAACCTTCCTTCTGAGGAGGGGCTGGTGGGTTTGAACCACCAGCCTTCTCAGATAAGAGTGAGCACTAATGCTATGTGGTCAATGGGGGGGGGTGTGCTTCTGTTGGGAGGAAAGCTGGCTCTGACACTTAGGCATGGCTGGTGTCCTGACATAACTATGGTAAATGGTACCAGTTAATCAGTTGCTGTCAAGCTAATTTTGACCTATGGAGGCTCCATGTGTGTGAGAGTAGATTTGGTCAGTTTTCAATGCTGACTTTTCAGAAGCAGATCACCAGGCCTTTCTTCTGAGGTGCATCTGGGTGGATTCAAACTACCACCTTTTCACTTAGCAGCCGAGCACTTACTTAACCTTCTGCTTTTGGATTTAATTAATTAGAGTGTTGTTTTAGTCTGTATAGTACTGCCTTGTGACGACTGTTGGATTACTTACAAAGGGATTAATTTCCCTTTGTATCTTATGTGGTAACCATGTATTGTACTTTTTATATCCTCAAATGATAATATAACCAGTGCTTAAAATATATATTTGCTTATTAATTGACATATTTTCACCTAACTTTGTCACCATGCACATAAGCCCAGCTTGAACTAAGACTAGCTCTTATCTAAATACAGAAGGGGAGCCATTTTTGGAGCAATAGAGATACAGCCTCCATTCCTCCAGCCACAAAGAACCTCAGTCTTGTCCTCCAGCCTCTCCTGTTCATGGTCATGTGTGAGATCACATTCAGAGCCAAGGCCACCAGCCAGGATTTCCTCCCACCTGATAGTCCAATAACTATGATGTCCTTATTTTATAAATAGTTTATATTTTATTATTAAAAAAAAAGAAGAAGAAGAAGAAAGAAACTATCCTCAGTCAATTTTCTCTTTCCCCTCTCAGCCCAATAGGTAAAAGAGCTGTAATAAGTTGGAGAGAAAATTCAGGAAGCACAGAGATGAAATGTCTGGAATTTGGGTGGAGTTATAGGGAGAGAGGATTAATACAAGGACCACAAAGGACAAGGTGAGTGGATCCTACAAGGGAAAGTAAGAACAGACTTTTGGTGGAAAAGATGAGAAAATAAATGTTGAGAGGGGAATATCATCAGGGAAGGTCTGGGACAGGGATCAGTGGATGACACTACAGGTAAAACCAAAGTCCCTTTCCCTCCTACAACCCAGCAAGCCAAAGCAATAGTATCCCTACTGTAGACATTTAGAAAAACTAAAGGAATGTGGAGGGAGGGGGAGGAATCATCTAATTGAGGGATATTTATCTTCTCTGGAAATTTCCTTTCTGTAGGAAATGGAGAGGATGAGGAAGGGGGAAAAATCTTCTCAGAACTTATTTTTTCATTAAAAAGAAGAACTGCAGGGTCCTTAGGAACTCAGAGATAAGACTACTTGCACACCAACTCTAAATAACAGTGGATGGAGATAATATGTATCACTCCTGAAGACCAAGGGCTCAGTCTTCATTCTCCGACTTTCCATTGCCCCCATTCCCAAGTCATTGCCCTCTAAGGCTCCTGAATTTCCATTAACCATGCTCCTTCTAGGAGTCATGTCTTGTATCAGTCCTACCCCACATGTCCATCAAACACCTTTGCATTCTCAGGACATCATCTTCTCTGGAGAACATTTGCTTGCATAATTCATTCCTTCTTCTCTATCCCACAAACTCTTATCCTTCTTGTTTATCATTTCATTCCCCAACCATTTTCTATAGGAACCCAGCAGATGGATGGTTAATGTTGTTAACTATCATTAATCTGCACCCTTTCTGGAGTCCAGGAAATAGGAATCATAGCTTTAATTCCTCATCTGAGAAAAGGGTAGGTCATGGAAGAGCTAGAGTTGGGTAACTTCCCAATGATCATCGTGAGGAAGGGATTTGGCCCTTGCCCAAAGTCTGCTGCTCCATCAGGTAGACTGGGTAGGAATTAGGGCCTCCATCATCTTCTGGGTCATTCTCCTGAGATTTCTGGGTCAGTGGATGGCGTGTTCGAGTCAAACAGGAGACCTGCAATTGAAGACAAAGAAGAAAGGAGTATCATCTGCCATGTCGCTTGCTTTCTTCAACACTCATATCTCAGGCTCTTTGATTTTATTCTCCCTGATCCTTGCCCAGTGGCTGCCTCCTTTCCCAAGATTCCATCCAGACCTACATCCTTATTCCAGCCCCAGATCCATCACCCTGAATTCAACTCCATCTCTAATTCTCGCCTCTGTCCTAATCCCCTTGTCCTTATGTTCCCTTTTCACAGACTCTAACTCCAATCCTCCAATTTTCCCTCCTTTATACCATTTTTTTCTCAGCCACATCCTTTTCCCCAATACCATTTCTTTAATCCCATGCATCTATTGTCTTTCCCCATAGTTTTCACCACTACTACCCCCATTCCACCACCTGTCAATTTGTCATACTGTGGTAGCTTACATGTTGCTATGATGCTGAAAGCGATGCCACTGATATTTCAAATATCAGCAGAGTCATCTATGGTGGACAAGTTTCAATAGAAATTCCAGACTCATACAGACTAGGGAGAAAGTCCTGATGATCTACTTCCAAAAATTAGCCAATAAAAACTTTCTGAACCACCATAGAGTGTTGTTCAATATAATGCTAGAAGTACCTCCAGGTTGGAAGGCACTACATAATGGCCGCAACAATGGACTCAAACATACCAATGATTGTGAGGATGGCACAAGACCAAGCAATGTTTTGTTCTGTGTTACATAAGGTTGCTATGAGTCAGAGCTTACTTGACAGCAACTAACAAGAATTTCTCAGCGACTAGGCAATATTTTGTTCTGTTGTGCATGGGGTTGCTATGAGTCGGAACTGACTGACTCAATGACACCTAAACCTAGTAACAATAACAACATCTAGCCATCATGTCTCTTTTCCTATCATTCTAGTTCTGACCCATAATAGCACTTCAACTCCCTGTCCCACTAGTTCCCTGTTGCATCCTTGTCCCTTACCAGGAAAATCAGGCTGAAGAACACCAGGAGGAGAATCACAGCCACAAAGACCACCAGGACTATGGCCCAAGCAGGGAATGAATCATTCTCCCCCGTCTCTCCAGCATGGAGACTTCCCTTTGAGCCACCTTTATTCTGATATGGATGGCTTTTGTTCCCTGGGGCTTCTGATATCTTGGAGCTCAATTCCAAGCTGGATGTAGTGAGTGTAAAAGACTCAATGGGCACCTGGTGGGTAACCTCATTTTTATTTGAATGTGAGGTAGTAGTGAGAGATATATCTCCTGTGATCGTGAATGGATGTCTTGTAGACTCAGTTGCCACTGTGATCTTTTCTGGGTGTTCTGGGTGTTTTGCTGGGACTCTTTTGGTCTTTTCAGTTGTCCATGTAGTAGTTTTCATCTGTTTAGTGGTCTTCTCTGGCACTTTTATAGTCTTCTCTGGAGCCAATGTGGTCTTTTTTGGCTCTAGAGTCTTCACTGAAACTCTGGTGCTCTTCTTATAAGGGACTGATGTGGTCTTTTCTGACTGTTCTAAGGTCCCCACTGGGAATCTTGTGGTTGTCATTGGAGCATCCTTTTCTATATGTTCTGGGCTCTTCACTGGGATTTTTGAGGTTGTCACTGGAGCAGATGTATTCTTTTTTGACCATTTATTGGTCTTCACTGGGATTCTTGTGCTCTTATCAGGAATCCATGTCATCTTTTTTAGATATTCTGTGGTCCTTACTGGGGTCTTTGTGGTTTTCTCATGGGCTGAGATGGTCTTGTTTGGATGTTCTTTAGTCTTTGTTGTGGCTCTTGTGGTCTTCTCAGGAGTCAATGCAGTCCTTTCTGTGTATTCTGTGAGTTTTACAGGAGATCCAGAGGTCTTTTCTGAGACAAATTTAGTTCTGTGATTAGCAGCTGTGATGTGATCTTCTATTGTGGTTGAGTGTCCTTTGGTTTTTGTAACCTTGTATGACTCCCCTGCCACTGTTGTAGTCTTTTCTGGGACTGTTGTAATTTTATCTTGACTGACTTTTGTGTTTTCTGAGGAAGATGTGAGTCTTTTGTTTGTCTCTGAATTGACTGACTTGGGTAAAGGAATTGTAGTCTTGTATGAGGTGATACTTTTATTATTTAAAGTAGTGATGGTCTTTTCCAAAGTTTTTGCTGAGTTTCTTGTAATTGTTGAATTTGCTCTGGTGGTCTTGTGACAAGTTGTTTTCCTGTTGGGTGTTGGGGTTATATGTTTTGCATCAGAAGATTCTTTATGATTTTTAGTAGAGCTAGTATTATTAATAGAGCGTTCATTCCGGACAACTGGGTCTTTCCCTTGATTCCTGAGATTTTGTTCAGAAGTGGAAGAAACTTCATGAAGAGTCGTAGCATTTGTGTGAGTTTCTATAGCTTTTTGAACAGGTTTGGGATGGTGTGTGGTGGTGCAGCGGTGTTTTGCTTTATGGATTTCTGTAGATTTGGAGGGGCCTGGAGGACTGTGTGCAGAATCAAAAGCAGTGTGGGCACGGGGAGTACTATAAACATGCCGTGGAGTAAGGAGGAATAAAGGGTCAGATGTTGAAAATCCACCAGTTTTCTGATGTTCCTGTAATATGGTAGCACCTGTAGAGAGAGAGAGGGGGGCAAATAAAAACCTTCCACCATGTTCTTTCCTGCCTTCCTGTCTATATTCGTATCTAGGAGTCCCTTTATATTCTAGTCCCTTAATTCTTCCCAGTTTGTCTTTTAAGTGTATTATAATACTGAATTCCCACACTCACTTGGAAATTTCCAGCCTCTGGACTTTAGCTCAGGCTGTGCCTTCTGCAAGATACCTCTTCCTCTTCCACATCTCTACCCTTTAGTTCCCAACCTCAGATCCTGATGGCCTCATAGCATCTTTCCTGATCCCTCCAAGAGATAATATCTACCTTCATCTCAGTGCTCAAAAAAAAATATTATTTGTTTGAAATGGACAAATACAAGCAAAGTAATCACCAGGAAAAAGAAAGCAAAAAAAAAAAAAAAAAAAATCGTTTGTTATGGAGGAACGGATAACCAAACTATGGTACATACACACAATGGAATACTATGCAACACTAAAGTATAATGTAGAATTCATGAAACACCTTATAACATGGATGACCTTGTAGGACATTATGTAGAGTGAAATAAGTCCATCACAGAAGGACAAATACTGTGTTAGTTCATTATTGTAAAAAGTCAAGGAAAGGTTTTCATATGGATGGAAATTTTCTTTGTTGGTTACCAGGGATGAAAGGGAAGGGGAGAGAAAATTGCTATGTAGGTAAGAGACAAGTATTGATTTGGGTGAAGGGAAAGGCAATATACTGAAAGCAAGTGACAAACACAATAATACTAAGGAAAAGAAAGCACAGAGAAGTGCACAAGAAGTACAGACAGCAAATATGAACACTTTTACATACACAATACTGTGTTATCAGTAATAACAAACATTAATCTATGGGGGAACAGGCAGGTAGACAGGCTGAATGATCAGGTATGTCTAGGCAAAAGAGAATATACCCATGACCATATATAGGTTTGACAGAGGGCATTTCTACATACGTATTTATATGTGCTATAAGAATGTCCATATATTTAATAGAGCTAAAGGGGGCCAAAGTTATGGTAACTTCTTAGCCACAGCCAAACACCCTGAGGGAGGGAGTTGTTAGCCCTATAGGCTCAGGACTAAGGTCGCAGGAAGAACATCAGGCTCAATTGGGATAACATACTACACAACAACATTTTTCTACATCCTACTTTGGTGAATAGCAACTTTGGTCTTAAAAGCTTGCAAGTGGCCAGCTAATATGCAACAATTGATCTCTCCTCATCCAGAGAAAAGAAGAATGAAGAAAACAAAAGACGCATGGAAATGATTAGTCCAAGGGACTAGTGGACCAAGCAAACTTCAGCCTACACTACCTTGGGACCAGAAGAACTGGATGGTGCCTGGCTACCACTGTCAACCACTCAGAAAGAGATCAGTATAGGAGATCCTAGATAGAGTAGGAGAAAAATGTGGAACAAAACTCAAAATAATAAAAAAAAGACCAGGCTTACAGCTTACTGGTCTGATAGAGCCTGGTGAAACCCCTGAGACTATGGCCCCTAGTCTCCCTTCAGGCCCGGAATTGAACCCACTTCCATGGCTTCCAGACAAACAATAGACAGGCATACAGGGTGAACATTTATACCAGGTACTTAGAACATTTATACTCACAATGATCAACCATGGGAGATTAGAAGAGCAGTATATACACAGGGAGATAGCTCAGGGAGCAGGAATGCATGGGAAAGAAGGACACTGAGAAAAGGTAGCCACAGGAGGAAGTGGGAAATTACATTGGGGGGATTGCAATCAATGTCATGAAACAAAATGTGTATGAACTGTTACATGGAAAATGAATTTGCTCTGTATCTTTTACCCAAATCATAATTAAAAAAAAAAAAAAAAAATCCTTCGTTAATTACTCTTTCCTGCTACCTTCAACTTGACATTATAGTTGTTTGTGTGCCTGTCAATCCCTACTCCCCACCATGCCTTTCAAATTATAAGGTTTTGAGAGTATTTACTGACTGGTGTTTTATTCAGCTGGTGCTCCTTTAGGGTTTATACACTTGTGGAATAAAGTCCCTTTTCCACAGCAGGGCTGAGAGGCAAGGGAATAAATACCAGAATCTTCATCTTTCCCTAACATTCTAGCTGCATCCTAAATGGAGCAGGTGAGAGACTGAGGTCAAGCCTCTGACAGAACTTCCCATAGGGATTAGCAATACATATAAGTGGTGAGAGAATGATAGAAAGGGAAGTGGGTGGATGGGTGGAGAAGGGAGATGGAAAACTTTCATTTTGGTGGTAAAGTTTGGTCTGGATACAGGGAGTAAATAACTCAACACTTGTAGACCCTCCACTGGCTTCCCCTTCTTCATATACCTTTAAGGCAGCTAGGACTATGGGAGGCAAAGGAGCTCTGGTGGTGTAGTGCCTAAGGTATTTGACTGCTAACCAGAAGGCTGGCAGTTCAAACCCACCAGCCACTTCTTGAAAGGAAGATTGGGCAATCAACTTCCATAGAGATACCACCTCAGAAACCCAAGGAGGGGTTGCTATGAGTCAGGTCTGACTCAATGGCAGTGAGTTTTGTTTTTGGTTTTTGGACATAGTGAAGGAAAACATGTCTGTTAGGGGGTCCTGACTGAGGCAGTTAGAACCTGGAAGGTACTGACTGTGTTTAAGGATAAGGTGTGAGGGAAAACACCCCTATCAACAGACAGACATGGGCCTTAATCCTGTGAAAAAACAACTAGATAGAGATAAAGGAGATGTCTCTGATATCTGGCCAGGAGATCCAGAGTCAGGAGATTGCCAAAGAGTCAGAGAGAAAGTGTTGTTACATAACTGAGATTTCTACTCTCTGTTAGCTCAGGGCAGTGACGGGCACCTAGACCAGTTTCCAGTCACAGGAAACTACAGTCCACCCACCTCTTTGCCAACAAGGAGAGCTGGGGGTTGGGAACTCAATCCTTGATAGAAATTTGAATAGGACTAAAGGAAGGTGAGAGTGGTAGAGAAGCAAAAGTCTCTGAAGGGAATTGAGGTTGGAGGGCAAGAGGAGGGCTGAATTATCAGTCCTCACTCTGCTATGCCAATTCTACCCCCCACTTCCCTTGGCAGCAATACCAATAATAAAAACCAGTGGCCATCAAGTTGATTCTGATTCCTGTGTGTCAGAGTAGAACTGTGCTCCATGCTCCATGGGGTGTTCCCTGGCTGATTTTTCAGAAGCAGATCCCCAGGCCTTTCTTCCAAGGTGCCTTGAAGTAGACTTCAATCTCCAGGCTTTCAGTAAGCATCCAAACACATTAACCATTTGCACCATCCAGGGACTCTACTACCAGAAAGAGCTTTGATTTATGGAACACCTTCTCTGGACCAGGCCTCATAAACATTCTCTGTCTGGATTCTCTTCTATGGTGACTGATCTCCCAAATCCTCCACAAATCACCTTAGAGACTGTCAGTCCAACTCTCCTATTTTACTGCTGAGAGACTTGAGTTTAAGGGAGTGTTAGGGTTTGAATTGTGCCCCACAAAAGTATGTGTTGTAAATCCTGTCCTCTATGTCTGTGGTTATAATCCCATTTGGGTATGGGGTATCTTTGTTATGTTAATGAGGCAGGATTAATGTAGGCTGTGTCTTGAGTCCATTTCTTTGGACAAATAAGAGATTAAACGAAGGAGTGAGCAGAGATGGGGCTAAAATAGATGCCAAGACAGATGGAGATCTTCACAGCAGAAGCTGAAAAAAGAACTTCCTCCAGAGCTGACAGAGAAAAAGCTTTCTCTTAGAGCCAGCAGCACTTTGAATTCAAACTTCCAGCCTCCTAAACTGTGAGAGAATAAATTTCTGTTTGTTAAAGTCATCCAGTCGTAGTGTTTCTGTTATAGCAGCACTGCATCACTAAGACAGGGAAGAAACATGACTTGCACACAGTTCTACAGCTATAATAGTGCCCAACGTTCCTCAAGCACCTAATGTGAGGTAGGCACATCCCATGAGTGAGGACATGTATCAATATATTTACCTTTTACAATAATCCTTTGAGGTGGAGACTATTATTTCCCCCTGACTCGACGGCACATAACAACAACAACAAATAAGGGGACAAAGGAGCTCTGGGGCAATGTGCCTAAGATATTTGACTGCTAACCAGAAGCCTAGCGGTTCAAATCCACCAGCCACTCCACGAAAGGAAGACCTGGCAATCTACTTCCATACAGATTTACCACCTTGGAAACCCAGCGGGAGTTGCTATGAGTTGGAATCAACTCAATGGCAGAGGGTTTTTTGGATTTAATAAGGGGACAAGATTCAGAGTGGTTAAGTAATTGCCCCAAGGACATCTAGCAAGTGGAAGACTGAGTCAGTATCTGAACCCAGGTTACCTGGCTCCAGGACTCAGATTCCTACTGGTTAAGACCACCACACTATGTAGCCTCTATAAATTAGGTCAGTCTCTTGGAGAAGGAGGGACAGTGGCATTTGTGGAACCCCTAAAGGACGTTATTTGTATGTTTTCTTATTTAATTGCCATCACAAACCTTTAGGATCTTACTAAAGGCTCAGAAAGATTAAATAAATTTGTGATATCAGGGTTTTCACTATACCCAGATTGCCTGCGCACATGGTAAGAGATGAAGAAACATTCACTGAATGAATAAAGGAACAGGCAGCAGAACAGAAAGGAAAATACCACTCGCCTACAGGAATCAGAGGAGTCCAGGCTCTGCCCGCAATGAACTTCACATCCTCTGTCATGTCACTTAAATGCTTGCAAGCTCCATGTCCTCAACTGTAAATGACAATGATGTTAACAGCACCAGCTTAGTGTGAGGATGAAGGGAGGCATGGAGAGGAAAGTTCTCCACAGGGTGTAGAACACAGGAGACTCTAAAATGTTTGTGGAATCTGAAATATAGTCTTTGACAGAATCTCATATCTTGCCTTGTTCTTCTCCAGATAGTAATGAGAGCCTGAGCCCCATTCTCCTACCTTCTGCAGCCCCAGGTATGTCTCCTGACTCATCGTCTCCCAGTCTACCTCCCTCTGAGCCCTATTTTGACCACCCTCTTCAACACAACAGCCTCCCTGCATTCCTGAGGCATTTTCCTCTCCCCTGCCCTGTTCTATTACTATACACTTATCATTTTCTAATATACAATAAATAATTTAATTTCTATCTTGGCAAGGATTTTTATTTGTTTTGTTTATCACTGTCTCCAGCCTAGGATAATGGTTGGCCCATGGAGGCACTTCATAAATATTTGTTGACTGGATGAATGCATGACTATTTTGAGATTGCTGAGAACTCTCTAGAAGCCATACCAACAACCTTGCTTTATGCACATTAAATAAAAAACAAATGTACTTGTGACCTTCTAAAGCAGAAAGACCAAGAAACGACTTCTGCTCTGTTAAGAAATTGAGTCATTGCAAGTGAAAACATGTTCACTGTCAGTTTGGGGATACCATTTGGCATTTAACCACAGGATAACAGAGACTTATTGTAGCATAGTAGCATAGTGCCTAAGGCACTTGAATTCTAGATTATAGAATTCCTGTTCTGCATCACATTAACAGAACCATAGATTATAAAATCTGTGTTGGAACTCAAGGAATTCCTTGTGTCTGAGCCCAACCATGATGCAAATCAGCGGCAAAACCCCAGGACGAGATGATCATCTCCTCAATAGATCTATCATGGCAGCAACTTTATTTCCCTAGGAGATTTCTACCATGAGATATTCATTCCACTGGCTACAATAATGATCTGGAAAGAAGTATTCTGGTCATTGAGGTATAGGCAAAGGGATGCAGAGAGGAAAACCTGGCTTTAGTACAAGACCCTTGAGATGAATATTCAGCCTGGATAGAGGAATGAAAACAAATCCCACAACATCAAAACTGTGTATAATTCCCAAAGTCTCTTCAATCTGTTTCATTCACTTGTTTGAAAAGAAGGTGGACATCCCACTAAGCAGCTCACTCCATTGAGTCTCTTTAGAGCAGTCGCACCCCAAAGAACACGTCTGGTGTTTCTTGGTGACCTGACCTCAACAATAGCTTACTCCATTTGCCATGATGTGGGAAAATGTTTGTTAAAATAGCTATGTAGTATGAGCTCAATATGTGACCTAGAAAAAATGTCTGAGACCCACTCCTAACTCTATGCCCAAGAGACTTGAAAGCAGAGACTCAAACAGATACATTGATGAGTACAAATGAGCACTACAGCATTATTCACAATAGCCAAAAATGGAAACAACCCAAGTGACCATTCACAGATGAATGGTTACACAAAATGTGACAGATACATGCAGTGGAATATTATTTGCCATAAAAAGAAACAAATGTCTGATTGCTACCACATGGATGAACCTTGAAAACACTGTGCTGAATGAAATAAGTCAATCACAAAAGAACAAATATTGTACAATCCCACGTGTATAAAATACATAGACTAGGTAAATGCATACAGACAAAAGTTATTGGTGATTACTAGGGATTGTGGTAGGAGCTCTGGTAGCATAGTGCCTAAGGCACTTGACTGCTAACCAGAAGGCTGGCGGTTCAAACCCACCAGCCACTCCTCGGAAGGAAGGCTGGGCGATCCACTTCCGTAGTGATACTGCCTCAGAAACCCAAGGAGGGGTCGCTATGAGTCGGGGCCGACTCCACAGCACATAACAACAACAACAACAGGGATTGTGGGAAGCGGGAAATGGAGAGTTACTGAGGGTTACTGAGTATATTTTAGGCTAATGGAAAATTTTTGGAAATAGATAGTGGTGATATTTGCATAACATGGTAAATGTAATTAATGTCACTGAATTGCACTTAAAAATAATTAAAATGGCAAACACTGTATGTGTATGTGTGTGTGTGTATTTCAATATAATTTTTTTAAAAAAATGAAGTCATTCTCTGAGATATAGGGAATATTATAAGAGATTTTATTCATCTTTCTAATATTTTTCTATTTCTCAATTTCTATAATGAACATATGTTACTTTTGTCATGGAAATTAGAGCAAATAACATTTACTGTAGGAAAAATGCTCTGTTTGGATTATCCCCAGGAACCCAACACCAATTCCCATCTACTGCCAGCCTTCTTTCTCCGAGATGATTTAGTCTGGATTTTGCATTAGGGTCTGTGACAGCATGGGAAGGACTTGAGGCTTGTGAGATGACAGGCACATCCCAGGACTGTGTGCAGAAGGTCTTCATCCATCCCAGTCATCACACCTCCCTCCCTGACCTCCCCTCACAATCACGTATCAAGCCCTGACCCACACTCCAATGTCCACTGCCCTCGGGGACCCTGAAGAGTATAACCCACCTGACCCCATTCCAACCCCACCCCACCCCAGCCTCAAGCTCTCCCACATCACCTAATTCCTTTCCTCTGCAGGGTCTAAGCATCCAGCTCCTCTTGCCCACCCCATACCCACTCCTTCCAGCCCAGCCAAGCTCCCAGACACCCCAACACACACAAGCACACACAGCCCAGAGGCTACCCAGGCTGAATCCCCGTGTTCTGGGCAAGAATTCAGATTCCAATGTCACCCACACCTGATCTCTGCCCTGAAGCAAATCTCTCTCAAAAGACTGTTCCCTTTCACCCTCTACAGGGCAGGAGATGCAGAAAGCAGCAGGTGGAACCATCTTCCGACAGGAAGGGGGCAAGAACGTGGGTGAGATCTGAGCTGGGAAGCTCTTACCTCTCCCCAGAGACTTCCAGCAGGGAAGGACCTCGTGTCTGGGGACAGACAGAATGCACTGCTGAGACCTATCACAGGCAATTTCAAGATTCTTCAGCCCCTGCAGTCCCCCCATTCACCCCAGGCCCCAACCCCTGCCCAGCTCCCTCTGGCCCTAACAGGACACAGAACTCAGAAGAGCACTCCCTCTAATGCTGACCTTGGTCAAATGCGATTCAAAGGAGGAGCTGCTGCCTGCCTGCCCCAAATGCTGTCCGGTACATTCCAGACTCCCTCAGCATTCCCAGCCCAGGTTTGGAATCATCAACTCCATCCACCCAGTGTGAAGACAGTCCCCTGCATCCATTGTTTGTTGTGCGTATACTGTGCAAAGACTCTCCTCTGAGTCACCCAGGCCTCCCCAATCTACCCCTGTCCTTGGTCCCTCTGCACCCTGGATTCAGTCACAGAACAGTTCTTAACTAAGTCAATGAAATCAGCAGTCTACCATATCTCAGTAGGCTCTGCTTGGCTTGTCAAACTTCTCCATACAGTATTCAATTTCTCCTCAAAGCCCTAGGATGTTTCCCTAGCTGTAAGATGGAGACAGAATTACACAGGCCTTATAATATTGCTGTAAGAATTAAATAAGGATATATGGGAAAGTGCCTAGAACAGTGGTATCTGCTATTATTATTGGCCTAATGGCATCCTTCCTATTTTATAGGTGGTATGGCAGTCCAGACAAGTTCAATGGATTGGAACCAGGACTAGAATGCAGGTCTGCAAACAGTAGGGACAGAAAGACAGAAGGGCTCTTAGGAGAGAAACTTACTCCCTGAGGGCAGTCGCATGAGGTGGTGGAACCCCTGCTTGCCACCCTGTAGCTGCATGACTTTGAGCAAGCCTTTACTTCTCTGAGCCTCACTCTCCTCAACTGTAAAATGGGAATATCATTAACTACTTCAGGGGGCTGTTGAGAAGATGAAGTATGTGAACACCTATGAGGTCCTTACACAAAGTAGGTTCCCAGAGAATGTTAGGACCCCACACCTGTCCACCCAGGGCCACTGAAGTCTTCATGTGAACTAGAAAAAGCTACAACCTTGTGGGACACATCTTAGAGGGCAAAGCTTGTCCCTCAGTCTGCAAACTAGCAGTGAACAGCCTAGACAACAGTATGTAGCAGCCCTGTGCCCATTCCCACACTCATCTCCTATTCATTTCTGTGGTTGATCATTCAATCCTACAAATGCCAAGAAACAATCCCCCCTCTCTCTTCTATCACCTTGTGTAATGGTGACTCCTCTGCCTCTGAGGATGTTCTTACCTGCCTCCCATGAAGCCAGCAGGAAGAGGAGGCAGCACTGGAGGGCAGAAGTGGAACTGAGACAGTGGGCTGGCTGGACCATGGTGGAGGTGGGTGGCTGCCTGGGACTCAGGCCTGGGTTCCCCTCACCTTATATGGGGCTAGGCTTGACGTCAGGGGGGCTGGGGCCCCTCAGGACTAAACCTTAAACAAAGGGAGCTGCCCCACCTCACAGGGTGGCCTGATAACGGGAGACCGCAGCTGCTGCGTCATGGAACCAGGTACCTGGGTGTCTGTCGAAGGGCTGGGATCTGGGAGGAGGGAAGGAGAACCAGGAGGTGATAGACTACTGACACCCCACCTGAAGAGAAGGGCTGGGTGGGGTGGTTTCCAGGGCTCTAGGGAACTGTGGAGTCAATGGCCCAATTCTAACAGGACTGAGCTCTGGTTAGGGGTGGGGCAGGGTGAGGGACGATGGGTTGCCTAGGTTCTAAGAGGAGATTCCAGTTCTTCTAAATCCTTCTCCAGCTTCGAGTTTGCCCTCCCACCTCTCTGGAGTTAGCCTAGCTCTCCACACCTCTTACTCATACATGGTCATTCTTCTAGCCCTGGGTGGAGTTGTCCATGAGTATTAGGTGAAAGAGCAAAGATGGGGAAAGCCCTCACATGGCTGATGCTGGAGACACAGGTGCTCAGAGATGCCTAGATGATACAAGGAGATGTGAAGATAGAAGGGGTAGTGACAGACACAGACAGACAGAACTTGGGTACTGACATCACATGCCTCCCCAGAGATGCAGACAGGCCCATGACATCCAGAAGGATGGAGGCCAACACCTTCAACAGAAATGTTTGGAGACACACAAGGGCTTCTGCCATCACTTCCTACTGCATCATCCCCTCCTACCTTGGCCTGGGAGCTCATTACCTCAATATCCTCCATCTACCCTCTGCTCCTGTTCAGAAATACAGATATCTCATTTCTAGCACCTCCCAGGAGACCCCCTCTTCCCTTCCTCCTGATGCCCTGACCAAAGCAAGCATCTGCTCAATAACTTTACAAATTAATTCCTAGAGTTCCCAAGTGGCAAACCTGGGGCTGGAGTCAGAGAAGACATGCTATTGAGTCCCTAAGGGGAGAGACAGCTGTGGGTCCACGTGCATAAATCACCACCCCTCTCTACCCCTCACATACATGTTCACTGTGGGTCCCCCAGCTGAAAAGTAAGCACTCTGCAAGCAAAGTCCTTGCCTTGGCCTCTGCTGTATCCCCAGAACCTGAGATATTGCCCTGGCACACAGTAGACAATCAATAAGTGTTTACTTGCCTGAATGCACTGAAAGCCAGGGGTAGCTAATACAGTTCTGGAGGAAGTGAGGCAGGCAGAAAGGGTAGAAATTTGGTACCAAGAGAGTAGGGTGTTGCTCTGATAGACCAAGACACCTAGAGGGCAGGAAGTCAGGGCCTCAAGGCATTTGGGGCTCAAGATAGGACTGAATACATGGATTTCTCTCATTACATTACATTATTATATCAATACATGATATAGTAATTCTGTATCAACTTGGCTGGGCCTGGTTTTGATTGTCTGGGCAGCTGGATGTAGTTACTGTCCATGATGAGACTGCTAATCAACTCCATGGTGAAATCTACTGGAGCAGCTGAGTAGCTGCTTCCAGGCTATAAGAAGCAGCACTGAGAAAGGTTTCTGCAGCTTTTTGGCACACTTGGATCCTGCATGTAGCTGAGTCTTTATTCAGCAGCCTGCCATGTTTCCTGCCGATCTTGAGACTGTCTCTGGACTTGAACTAAAGGCCTGCCATATTGTTTGATAATCTTGGGACTGTGCCATTTTGTTGACCTTAGATTTGACATGCTCAGCAGCCAGCAACTGCCTGAGTTAAGAGAAGCCTCCAGCTTCATGGGGCTGGGAGCAAGAGGCAGGGCTGAAGCCCAGCATCGAGGGGCCTTCATCAGCACCTAGAGCTCGCACTTTGAACTCAGACCTTTTAGCCTCCTATACTGTAAGAGAATAAATCCCTGTTTGTTAAAGTCACCCAGTTTGTGACATTCTCTGTTAGTGCAGCTCTAGAGGACCAAAACACATGGCATGACTTGTGCCTCAGCCCTAGGCAGGGCTAGAAAGGGTGGGAAGAGGAGAAGAAGCCAAGTGCTGATTAATGTGATTAATGGAAGATTAATGAGGCTCCATAAAGCCAGGCCAAAGACTGAGTACTCAAAACTGGCAGCTGGCCTCCTAGGCAACGCATTCTGCAGGATGGGGAAACTGAGACAGGGACAGGCATCCCCTTGCAACTCCACCTGGTTTCAGGAGTGATTGACAGCCCCCTTTCTACTAGTCCCCTACCCCCTTTCCTCAAGGACCCAGGCCTCTAGAGCAATGGTTCTCAACAGGGAGGGTAATTTTGTCGCCCAAGGAATATTTGGCAATGTCTGAAGACTTTTTTGGCTGTCACAACTTAGAGGGGCAGGTGCTGCTACTGGCCCATAGTGGGTAGAGACCAGAGAAACTGCTAAACATCCTACAATACACAGGACAGCAAAGAATTATTCAGCCTAATATGTCAAGCTCTGGTAGCGCAGTGCCTAAGGCACTTGACTGCTAACCAGAAGGCTGGCGGTTCAAATCCACCAGCCACTCCTCGGAAGGAAGATGGAGCAATCTACTTCCGTAGTGATACTGCCTCGGAAACCCAAGGAGGGGCCACTATGAGTCGGGTCCGACTTGACGGCACATAACAACAACATACCAATTTTGGAGTATTACTAAGTACCTCAGCTCCCTATGAGATAGGCACTGTCATCCTCATTTTACAGATGAAAACAAAAAAGGATTCTGAGGGAAAATGACTTGCCCAAGGTAACACACCCGATGAGTGGCAGAGACTGGACTTGGGCCATGCCTGGCAACAGGGTCATGTCCTTGGCCAAATACACAATGGCTATAGATGAGTGGAGGGGAAGTTATTTTATTTAGCAAGAATTATGTCCACCATCCATCCAAGTGGTCTAAGGGAGCATTGCAGAGCTTGGTTTGTCACTGATCCTTAGGGGAGAGAATCGGGGTCTTGTGGGAGGGACAGGAGCCAGTGTGAGAGGCTCCCTATGGAGGGGGGAGTGAAGGGTCTCCTGTTCCCCACATCCTTTCCTGTGCCCTGGGGCTGGAACAAGTTGCCCTCAGCTGAGTTTCTCAGAGGTTTGAGGGGCGGGGACATAGAAAGAACAGGCAAGGGGTAAAGATTTCAACTGCCCAGACTCAGACTCCATGAGGGCTGAGAAGCCCCTGGAGACCACCAGCCCTGGTCCTTCCTTGTATAGATGAGAAAAGTGCAGAGACTTTAGGCTAGACTACACAGCTGGCAGCAGGATTGGAACTGGAATCCTGAGTGACTGCATGGTGGGTTTCACCTTCTGCTGTTGGTGGAGGAGACCTGGAGGATCAGGGGCCCCAGGACATGGTCCCAGCTAGGGTAAAAAGGAAGGGTCAGTCTGGGAATGAGACTATTTGGGAGAGGATGAAGGAAGGGGTCTTGGCTACTGTGGCTACTGTGGCTCCGCTCCTTCACTTGACAGAGTAACGCTGGCTGGTGGCCTCATGGTGGCAGCTGTAAGGAGCCGAGAAGCAACAGTCACACCCCACACTCATCTCCTTCCAGAACTCGCAAGCCTGTGAGATGAAGGATGAACAGGGTGGGTGAATGTACAGACCTCGAGACCTGTTGCTCAGCCCTCAGCTCTTCCCATGGGCTGCTGCCTCTCCTACACAACCCAGGCTCTCAGCTCTCCCTTTGAGTAATAATAGTAATGAATAATACTCATTTATCGAGCACTTAGCATGTGCCAAGGACCAGTAAGTGCTTTACATGCATAAGCTCATTTGTTCCCCCCAACAGCCCTTTGAGATGGATACTATCATTCTCATTTTATCCAGGACCCGATTACCTCATCTGTAGAATGAAGGATAATAACAATATCTGCCTCATAGGGCTGCTGTGAACTAAAATATGTATAGCACCTGAGACATAATAAGTACTACTTAAATATTAGATATTAATTTTGAGGACTCTGAAGCACAGACAAGTTAAGTAACTTGCACAAGGTCACACAGCTCTAAGTGGCAGAGCTAGGATTCAAAATCCAGGCTAATGTGGCTCCACAGAGCTGGCTTTTCATCCCTAGAGCAGAATTTAATGCCTCCATGAGCTAGTCATCTTCCAGTGTGCCTAAGCCTTTCTTTCAGTGGCCCTAAGCCCCCATCCCTCCCTGGCCAGTGTTTCCTCTCAGTGACCCACTTCCTTTCCTCCTGCTCCCATTCCTAAGTGTGACAAGCTGTCATCTCCCCCTCCCCTGAAGCTCCTACTCTTCTCAGAGCCCCAGGTGCCAGATCCCCAGTCCCACTGGACTTGATCCCCAATAGGACCATAGTGTCACTCACCTTCTTGATGACATAGAGGAAGCTGATAATTCCTGCTGCCACAGTGAGAGTGATCAACACAATGGCCCAGTCAGGGACAGTGCCTTTCTCCTGAGGCTTTGAGCCTGAGGAGCAAAAAGAGGACAGTGACCCAGGTGGGCGGCACCTTAGCTGCCCTTCATCACTTTGCAGCTCTCCCTCTATAATTCTGATGTCACATCTCTGCAGAGTTCTCTCTGTCATCTTGGGAGTAGAATCTCAGTGGAAGGGATGTTAAAGGGCTTCCGTCCAAGCCTGAGTCAAGGACAGAATCTCCTCTTCCCTACACTGGTGGATGTGCCTGCAATAATTATTCAGACCCCTCACTGACATCCAACTGGCTCCACCTTTCTGAACCTTCTACATCTCAGGCTCTGTTGTCCACATCTCTCTCAATCTCTGTCTGATACCTCTGCACAGTCAGAGTTGCCAGATGGGCTTCTTCTTTCTCCAAGCCTTAGCCCCTTCCACCACCCTACCCTGATTCTGACCACTAAGGGGAGCAACCTGTTGTCCTGCCTCTCCTTCCCTCATTTCCTGCCCTAGGACTACCTGGAGAGAAGGCTCTCCATGTCTCCTCTGCTCATAATAAAGGGGAAAAGGGGAGAGAGACAGGGAAAGAAGGTGGGCAGGCTCTGTGGAAGGGTGGTTCTTGCCCTGGAAAGTCAAATTGGACTGTGAGGAAGAAAGATGAAAATCTTTTGCAGGAAGCAGTCAAATAGCAGACATCTGTCTGTTGATCTGACCAAAGGCTTAATGGGGCACTGGAGTCCCTGAGTGCTACAAAATGGTTATCACATTCAGCTGCTAACTGAAAGGCTGGAGGTTCAAACCCATCCAGAGGCACCTTAGAAGAAAGACCTGGTGATCTACTTCAGAAAAGTCAGCTATTGAACATCCTAAGGAGGACAGTTCTACTTTGACACATATAGGGTCGCCATGGTCAGGGTCGACTTGATGGCAACTGATTTGGTTGAGTCTCAACTTTGAGATACACAGCCATCCTCAGACATACTTTAAAAAAATTAAAATAAAAAATTGGAAATAGGCACTAACGACTGTCCCCGCACAACTCTCCAGAAGCTAGGGACAGATGTGGGATATAAAAGAGAATGGGTCTGACCATCGTTTGGCTGGTAAATGACTCAATGCAACAAGAAAACCTTGCTGGTCAACACACTAAGCCCAGGAGATGTGGTGGCTGCTCCAGCCATCATGGGAGTGGAACCTCCTGAGACAGCAACATTGGATGTGGAAGTCCCACAGTTGAAACAGTTCCAGGGGATGCTGTGGAGTAAATAGATCCTACAAGGGCAGAGGAGAAAAGTGGCTGGAAGAGAATCAGGTAAGACCAAAAGCAGAAATCACATCCAATGCAATCTCAATCAAACTCTCAGCAGGGTTTTAGTAGAAATTGATTCTATAAAAAAATCAAAGGACTGAAAATAGCTATGACGATCTTACAAAGAAAATTGGAGAACTTACACTACCAGATTTTTAGACTTGCTAGAAAGCTGCAGTCATTAAGTACTGTGGTACTGGAGTCAGAAAAGACAAACAGAGGAACAGAATAGAATCTAGAAACAGACCCACACATATATGGTCACTTGATTTTCTACAATTTAATGGTAAGGAAAAGGGGAGAGTCTTTTAAATAAATAGTTCTGCAGTGATTAGACATTTATAAGGGAAAAAAAAAGAAAAAAGAACCTTGTCCCCTACCTAATACCATACACAGAAATTAATTTGAGATCGATCATAGACTTAAATTTGAAAACTAAAATTATAAAGCTTTTAGAAGCTACAGAGTAGAATTTTTTATGATCTTAAAGTACACAGAAACATCCTTTATAGAATACAAAAGGCACTAACCACAAGTTAATGTTGATAAATTGAAAAGCAGGAAGAGGGGACCTTGTATAACCACAAAGGTGGGGGGAGCTTCTTCCAGTGATGATCCAGGAAACTGCCAGACTTACACTTAGCAGAGCACCAGGAAGTGCCCCCCGCCCCACCCCAACCTACAGGCCAAACAAAGGATTTTTTAGAGATGGTTTGAGCAACAGAAATATCACCTGATGTTGTTGAGATGCTTCCTGAAATGCTCCCTGATATGGTTGGAGCTAAAGTCTGAGGACTACTAGGTGAATTCCCAGATGTTGAGAAACTCCCAGGGGCTGTAGGGAGACTCACAGAGATGGTAGGGAGATTTGTGGAGACAGTGGGCAGGCCTGCAGAGATACCACCAGAGACAGTAGGAAGACTGGCAGAGACAGTGGGGAGACTGGCAGAAATATCCCCAGAGACAGTAGGGAGACTGGCAGAGACAGTAGGAAGACTGGCTGAGACAGTGGG